AGTTGGAGTATCACACTCAAGGAAGATGGACACTGCTGCACAACAACACACCCTCACACAAGAGTACTGCCATTCATCAATTTTTGGTTTAAAAAGGAATTGTAATCCTTGGTCCCATTCTCCCAATCTGACTCCCTGTGGCTATTTTTTGTTCCCAAAATTTAAAATTCCAACGAAAGGGATTCATTACAAGTGCATTCCTGAGATTGAGGCTGCTGTGACTGCAGTACTGTATTGAATCAGGTGCTAAAACAGGAGCTGAAAAAGTCTCTTGAAATGCTCATTACTTGTTCAGAATGTTGTATTGCTCAGATAGTTTATCTATACTAATATTATAAAGAGGTAATGTTTGTATGTAAGTAAGTTTGTATGCAGCAGATAATCTCCGAAACTACTCAACCGATTCCAAAAATTCTTTCACCAATATTTAGAATGGAACTTCAGGGTGGACATAGGCTGTATATTATTCCGTTAAACATTCATATAAATTAAATTAAAAGATATAATCTAGGTTAAGGCTTTTATGTCCAACAGATGATGCTACGAGTACAACGCCCTAAGTTTGCTTTTCTGTGAGGCATTATGCTTTTCTGTGAAAATGAACTAAAGCAGATCATCTTCTATCTATTTATATAAATAAAAATGTAATGTTCGTTTGTTCCTACCGATTCCTTTAAAATTTTGACACAACACTGCATTCGAATAAGCACGTGTTTTTATATAATATACATGTCGAAATTCAACCCCACTGAAGGGAGATGGTTAGGTTTAAGGCTTACTGTGAAGAACTTGGCTTCTATGATACTATTTTAGATGTGGATTTTTGCATTTTTGATTGCGTTTTAATAGGGTACGTCAAGAGAATGTACACTAAGAAGAAATTTTTCGAAAAATTCCCACCCATGGGGGAAGTGTTATAAATTTATTAATAAAAATAGATAAAAATAGTGTTAAAAATAGATACATTTTGAGCCACAACAATGCGTGGCGGGGTCTGCTAGTTTCAAATTAAAAAATTTATAAAAATATTTATTATAGTTTTTACTTTCTAGAGCAAAAGTTTGGTTTCTTTTTAGACAATCTGTTTAAATGCCATGGGTCCACACTGAACATATTATCACACCATTAAAGTACAAGTTTGTGTCAGAATCTTTTACTGATACAGTATGTTACCAGCATTCTGATTGGGACACAAGGGAACACCTTGACAATGCACTTAAAAATGCCGTAAACTATATACAGTTTTGTAATCATTCTGTGAGCAAATTCTTGAGAAATGGCTTGATAACAGGAAACTTATGGCTACAGAAAAATTTGAGAAAATAGTGTCAAACTTATTAACTTGAAACTCTAGCCAGGATTTTTTTTACTCTTTAAACTTATACTCAACAGGGATATGGATTATTGCTCCATTTAATAGAATCTATAATAAGAGAATGACAACTCCACACAGCACAGCACATCACTTATGCTATTGACTGTTTAGCTTGTCATACTAATAAACATTTGTCTACTGAAACTCCATAGAGGAATTAGAGATTTATGAGTCATCTCTCAAAAAACAAATCAGATTTATATCATCAAAACTCTCATAGAGGCCATTCATTAATTACATGTACAGTTTAAAAGGGAAGGGGTTCACAGAAAGTATATCATTATACATGATATGGAGGAAAAGGTTGAGACACTATCTGCATGGACCTTTTTTTACTGATAATAGTGGCATAAAATTTGTTCTTATAAGCCTACTTAGTAGTATTGTGAGTAAATTATCAATTACAAAATATTTGCAGAATGTAATTGAAATAACTAATTCAGTTTTATGTATTTTTATAAAAATATTTGCTTTCAGATTTTTATCAGACACTGCTTTTTAGCTGCTGTCTCAATTGTCAGTATTTCAGCTGAATTATTTGCTTTAATTTATAAAATATGAGATTTTAGACTGGAATAGATATATTCTAATGTTTAATAAAAGTGTACAAAAAGTATGAAGGCCATCCATTAATTATGCATATAGTTTTTGAGCCACTTTTGATCCCCCTCCCCTTTAATTTTATGTACAATAGTTCATGAATTCCCTAACACTAAAAAAACAACTAAAAGAGAGGGGATTTGTCAAAAGTACAACTGGAAAGAAATATTAAAAGATCAAAAATGACTTAAAACTGTACACATAATTAATGGACGATCCCATACTTATGTATGGTACACTTTTATTAAACAAACTAGAATATATCCATTCCAGTTTAAAAATTGCACATTTATAAGTTAAAGCAAACAAACAATCTGGCAGAGAAAGCAGCTAATTAAATATCTGATAATAATCTGAAAGCAAACATTTTCATAAAAATACATAAAACTAAATTAACATAGTTATTTCCATCAATGTTTTTATTCAAATAATACATTACCTTCCTCTCAATAACTAGAACAAATTACAAAACACAATCAACAAAACCTTTAAAGCATCCAGTAACGAAATTTAATGTAAAACTTGACAAACATTTTCAATCTTAAAGGAGATCTGCATCAGGTCAATGTTACATTTCAAATTGGTATGCTCAGTAATAATCAGTAATAACATGTTTGATTTACATAAGATGTTTGATTTACTAATTATTTAAAAACTAGCAGATGAGCCCGGCTAGTGGCTAAGGCAAAAAATAACAGCAGCAAAGGTTAAAATTATTAGATTATTTCATACTTCTATCCCTTCTACTATATTATATTATATTATAGTACAGTGGGTGATCGGTTAACGAACAGATCAGATAATGAACACTTTCGCGAAAGATTTTTATGTTCAGATAACGAATACCCTACAGAACAAACACAAAAAGAAGTGATATAAAATAACGAATACCGATTGGTCTTCCGTTGTCTTCGGGCAACAATTCGAAACATTTCAGAGTGTGGGAGATGTTGACATCAACGCTCAAGCTGATATATACTGATTAGATAGTATTCCTCCGAACTTTGAAACTCTCCCTTGTAATTCCAGTCTTTTATTTTTCTGACAAAACAATTCTTTTTATGTATTCGCGAGACTGTTGGGTAGGCACTCATTAAGTTTTGAGTCTGTCTTTCTTTTCAAAAGGTGAGAGTATAATAACAAAGGTAGAGAGTGGGCAGAAAATGCCTAATGTTGCTGGGCAGTATGGTGTGAACTGGTCTATAGTAGGCCATAGTTCAATCTTAGTTAAGAAAAATATTGTATAATCAAAAAGACTCAAGCAGCTAAAGGAGTAACAAAAATCACATCTCAGAAATAAAGAACATCAAAGAGTTCATAATGGAACCTGAAACTGATCTGATGACAAAAGAACGGCAATAACTCTTGAATGAACACCAAGAAACATGGCGAGATATGTTTTCTTCTGAAAAAGAGGATTAATGCTGATATCTATTATTAAAGATCCTTTGAAGAAGTGGGAGGATGTCAGAACAACGGTCTTAGAATGACATCCAAACCAGGTTGAGGCTTGGGGATTTCTACAATTGCAATGCTATTAATTACTTACAAAAAATCCCAAAGAAGAGAGAAAAGCAATCGACATTAGACAGATTCTTTAACCCTTTCAAACGGAAAAAACATAACTAATAAAAACGCAAGACTGTGTATGTATGCATTTTTATTATTACACTAGCTGCAAGGACCTGCTTCGCTGGGTTTTTATTTGTTTGTACATTTGTATCTAATATAGTTGTTTTTTATATATATAAAAGACTGTTTTTCTAAGTAATCTAGAATCTAGCTGCAAGGACCCGCTTCGCTGGGTTTTTATTTGTGGGCAAAAAGTAACGATAGTGAAGATTAAGATAATTACATTATAGCCAATCTTACCCGTTTTCACAGAATGCAAGAATTAGGTCCCCCGTTTCCAGACTAATTAGAGAATTTTTACGTCCAGTCAAACGAACTACTGTATTTTCAATTTGATCAAGTTTCTGGAACGTTTACAATCGTTCTATAATCGAACCAATATTCGAATTTTATGTTCGAATTAAATTCGAATAAATTCGAACATAAAATTCGAAATAGAAAACCACTTTCAACCCCATGTCTCCGCACTCTTATAGCTATCGAGACGCAACCACCATAGTGCACGAATGGAGACTTGGGGCTACTACCATATACAAACACCACTCATGTGCGATGTGTAGTTTTTGGCTGAAAAGTGAAATATAGGGACACACACGTCCATTTACATATATATATATATATATATATAAATAAACGTAGTAAAAAAGTATATATTTTTTATTTCTGGGGATCTCCAGAACAAATTAATTAAATTCCCATTAAAACCTATGGTAAATCAATAATCGGTTAACAAACAATTCGGATAGCAAAGAAAGTCTTGGAACAGATTATGTTCGTTAACCATCACCCATTGTATTTGATTTATATTTACAAAGGTTATCTTATGAAAGAGTTTATCACACCAGATGACCAATCTAACACATTTAAAAAATTTTTTAAATGTGTTAGATTGGTCATTCAGAGTGATAAACTCTTACATAAGATAACCTTTGTAGTTATATAGCCAATCTTACCCATTTTCATCAGGTGCAAAAATTAGGTCCCCACAACAAACATGAGACTATATAATCTATGATTCACAACCTGCATGTATTTACAAACAAATTAATGCAATACAATTACTTTTCAACAAAATGACAAATTTTAAATGTAATGTTTTGAGTAATTTATAGAAAGCGAATGAAGAAACCATACAAGAATTACAAATGGGTTTAATAAGTACTTCTTTATGATTTTATATATAAAGCTTTTGCAGGCAAACAAGGTCACTTCATAAGGAAGTTTACTTTTCATTAAGATTTTGACTGTTTCTGATAAATTTTTAAACTTTTCTGTTTCTTATCATCAGAATTACCAATTTACGCAATTAAAAGATAAATGTAATGTAAACTATATCATATTTTACTTTCAATTCTGAATGAATTAAATAATAACACAGTAAATACACACATACCTTTGATTTGAATCCAGTATGACTTCCAAAATCAAGAATTCTTCTCAGTAGACGAGACATATTGAATAGTTTCTATGTTCTAATCGAGCTATTAGGAGACGTCGTCCAGTATGAATCTTAAAAACACGCTTCCAAACTAAAAAATAAACACCACAACAGAAAGTAAAAACTATAGGGTCAGAGGGACATCAAACATCAACCTTGAGAATTTATACATTATACAAACGCTAGATGGCGCCATATTTATAATAAAAACTTTAAAAAATAAAACCGTAAAATATTTTCCCGGTGAAAAAATATAATCAAATTATTATTATTTATTAAT